AACATGGTTCCTTCCCCTAATCGTTGCATGCCATGTGCCCTCCCCAGCCGGGGCACCTTCATTTGGATGTGCTCCAGCTTCTCAGAATTGTCTCACAAATCTTCTGGGGTTACATCAATGTATAATTGTGACAGAGATGGGGAGAAACAATTTGAATTAGAAAAATTAGCAGTTTGTCTTGGTAAGTGGGTCAGATGAGACAGGATATCTCCATATACATAATTTCAGAGGGACATTGTAATAAAATAGTACATGTTAACTATTCTGCCTAATAAATTGTCATATCACTAAGTATTTCTTGATTTTATAGGATAATAGATTTAGAGTGAAAGAGAGCTTAGAAGCCATCTAGACCAGTGCTTCTTAAACTGTGGGTTGAGACCCCATATGGGGTCATGCTTTAAGAAGTGCTGAAGGGGTCGGGAGTGGAAAAAGTTTAAGAAGCCTGATCTAGGACTCTCCCCCCCCCAATTTTACAGATAAGGAAACTGACTCATGGAGGTTAAGTGATTTGCTTGAGGTCAAACTGATAGTACATGACAGAGTTAGAATTTGAACCCAGGTCTTCTGACTCCAAATCCCTGTGCCTTACTGTAACAGGTCCATACTTCTTTCTTGGTTTTCACGGCCTTTATAACATGTCCTGCTTTTCACAGAGCTAATAGAATAATTCCACATATACTTAAGGGCTTTTAGGTTTACAGAGTTTTTTTGCTTCCTTTTTTTGTAACAACCCCATGATGTAGTTGCTATGGCTACTATTTCTGTTTTACAAATGAGGAAACTGAGGCTAAGAGAAATCAAATGATCTGTCCAGCATCACACTGCTAGTAAGTATAAAAGCCAAAATTGAAAACCAGGTCTCTTGACCATAGTGTTTTCCCACTATGCAATACTGCCTACCAAGACTCTGAAAGATCCCTATTGGTGATCCCATGAGAACCCTCTGAGAGTAGCAAGATAGTGAGGCTTTCATTGTACTTAGATACAGGCATACCTTCTGCTCATTTGAGAGTTTCGTAGCACATCAGGACAAGTATTTTCCTTGAAATATATCCTCTAGATTTGATTCTTTCAGATACGTTTTCTCTTCATTCTCCCTGTACTAGTTAGAGAATTATTAGCATTGCATTCCTTCTCATCCATAGGAAAAATGCGGAAACAAATTTGGATTATGTGATTCCAGTAACCATGCCTGCTTGTAGGTGGGGGGGATGTACCTACCCTAGAGAATTTCTCTGTCAACCTTGGAGGTAATTTCTCTGAACATTGGGAATGTGCTACTTTTCTGAGAGAAGTTGTTAAACCTATACACTTGGCCTATTTTCACAAATCCAAGTTCACAAAACTTGGATTTCCAGTTCCAAGGTTAATTTCCTCATAACTCCTCTGTGCAGTATCATATGGTGTTCATGACCTCTTGTTTAAGGGAGAGCCAAGTTCATTGTTAGATGTTTTTGGTGCAAAAGAAAAATGATTTATTGCCAAACTCAGGGATTTTAGCTCAAAAGGCGATAAATATCAGATGAGATAATATATGTAAAGTGCTTTGCAAACCTTCAAGGGCTGTACAAATGTCAGTTATTATTATTATTTAGGTTATGGGAGGCTTGGGGGATGGAGTTCATAAAAGTGTGAGGGATCTGGAAGCTTTTGAAATGTTCTGTTTGCAAAGAATTTACTATGTGCTCAGCATGGTGGTAGGTGATAAAGAAGAGGCCTGGGATGTGATCCCTGCCCCTGAGCAGTCTTACAGTTTTGTTAAGGAGCTATTAACATAAAACAGTAGTAAGAGTGTAAGATAGTATACAGTTAGATCCTCAGCTGGCCGGCATGGGTTTTAAATGCCTCTGTTAATTTGTGACACAGCCCTCCTTCACTTAAATCCAATTCGCTTGCAAGTCATGGTCCTCTGGGAGTGAGAATAAAGATCACCTTATGCTTGATGGTACTTCATATGTCATACATTCCTCTTTCTTAAAAACAACAAAACCCCTTCATCCATTTTCTCATTTGATCTTGGTGGCTATGGGGTGAGGTGGGTGAGATGTTTTATTATTGGCATTCCACCAATGGGGAAGTGTGGGATCAGAGGGTCCTGTAGGAGTTATCTGGTGGCCCAGAATACAAAAGTCGTGTCTTCAACACTGGTCTTCAGACTCCAAGTTGAGTTTGTTTTCTCCTAGGTTAAAAGTGCTTCTCCCATCACTGTAACAGTTGTGGGTGGAAGGATTGGGTTGGGACCTATCCTCTTGGCTTTTTCTGTTCCCTCTACTATTCTTTTTGCACACCCCTAAACTGTGCCCTTCCTTTTATTTGTGCTTTGAATTATTATCTGAAACTGCTAATGATCATTGAGAGAGAACAAAATAGATATCCTTTGGAGATGTCAAAAACTTTACACTATGATCCTATTTAAACCTCTAAATGACTTTATGAAGTAGTGTGAATGTTATTATGCCCACTTTTCAGATGAGAAAACTGAAGTGCACAAAGAAATGAAGTGATTTACCTCAAATTAAATAATCGACATGTGACAATCAGGTTTTAAACTCAAGTTCTGATCCATTATACCACTGGTACAATGTCTGATACTTTGTCTGGTGTTGAATTATTGCCTCATTCTTCCCTTGTAGTAGGCCTCACCAGGCCCCAGCCTGCCTCCTTGGGCATTCCTGGCATCCCTGACTTCAAGAAGAGTCCCTCTTGTCCCTAGGCTCTCCCAATGTTACCAACTCTAGATTCCTAGCCCACAAATGCTGAACCACTGTTAGGGGTGGCCCAGCCAGCATGGAAGGGAAGTGGGGCTGGGGGTAGCTTCCTTTGCTAATTATCCCCTTTGAGACCTGCTGCCTTTCTTGGGCTATTGCCAGTTCCAGTAAATGCCTGACGATGGTATAGGGGGCCAAAGCCCAGGAGTGAGTGCATTTTTAGCTTTTCTTCTTGATGCAGTAAATGATTATCCTTTGTAGTCACATTATTTTCAGAGATCTCAAGTGTTTTTTCTCTGGGCTTCATCTCAGTCCACATTGTAACTTTAATAGCTAGTGCAGTATCTATTTTGCTCTTTCTGCCTCTATGGGAACATCTCACATCTTTCCCCTTCTCCCTACTGTATAAGTTCTGGCACATTCCATTTGATGAGGTAGTGTGGCACCTGGCCTGAGGTGGCTCAGTGGATAGAGAGCTGGACCTGGCATCAGGAAAACCTGAATTTTCCTTTTTTTGTGTGACTATGGGCAAGCCACTTAACCTTTGTCTGCCTCAATTTCCTCATCTGTAAAATGAGACTAACACCACCACCACCACTACCACCAGCAGCTGCCTCGCAGGGTGGTTATGAGGATACAGTCATATGTTTGTAAAGTGCCATGTAAATGCTAGCTATTATTATCTTTAAAGGCCTGCTCTGTGCCCTAAAGCTTCGGTTCAATTCATCGAGCATTTAATCTGTGCATGCCAGTGGACTGAACATTAGGGATACAAAAGCTAGCATGAAATAGATCCTGTCCACGAAGAGCTTATATTCTGCTGGGATAGATATAGCCTGTGCACAGATAAGTAAATGCAAAATGTGTACCAGGTGATTAGTAAGGGCATTATTACTAAGTAGGTGATGGTAGGATGGACGATAGGGGAAGAGTCAGAAGACAGACTCTGAAGATTATATCTGCATCAGTGTGTTTTGCTCTCCTGATGCAAATTTGCGGGAGCTTTCTACTTTGGGACAACAGGCAAAATTAAATTAGAAGCTTGACCTATAAAGAGCATCCAGACACAGGATCTGAATCCTGTACTTAACTTCTCAGCATGTGGTGGAAGGGTGGTGTTCTTGGCATTCCCAACTGGAACAATTTTAGCACAGGAAGGAACTTTAAATCTAGTCAAAAGCCCCAAATGTGTATACATTGAGAGGTCACTAGTCACTCCCAATTTTGTAGTTGAAAAAACAAATGTATTGGTTACATAAAGGGTTATTTTCATTTGGAGGCGTTATTTTGGGTGTTGACCAGGAAAAAGAGTAAAAGGGGTAGGAGGTTGGTGGAGAAGATGTCATGAATTCAGGGTGAAGGGAAGAAATAGACATGTAATAATGCTTTATTGGCAGTTAGTCAATGTTTTGGTTTTTAATGTCAAATAATTATGAGAAAAATATAATTGCAGGTGTGGACCTGTGATTTCATCCTTATGAAGAACTTCTGGTGTGGAAACTCCCTCCACTGATACAGATAGCTGCCTTGTCTATAACTTAGTTTTAAAGAGTTGCCTGGGATGCTGAGACCTTGCCCATGTTTGCATAGTCACTCTATATCAGAGGCAGGATGTAAACGCCAGTGTTCCTGACAAAGGATGAGCCTCTCTCCTGGATGCCTGCCAAGTTGGCCTCTGTCAAACAGTGTTCTTTTTCTTTCCCCTAAAGAGCACCCTCTCCAGGGAAAATGCCACCAGCTTAATCACATTAGCCTGGTAACCCAGGCAAGTCACTGTGCTCTCAGGCTTAGTTTCTCCTTCTTGTCAAATGGGGATAATAATACATTACCATCACCAGAGGGCTGTGATGAAGAAAGCTCTTTCTAAGCCTTAAAGTGTGAAATGTGTCTGAATTATTGAGAAAGCATTGGCATGGCAGTCAGAAGGAGCTGGGTTGGAGTCCTAGCTTTTCACCTTACTAGCTAGACAGCCTTAGCCAGTCTGATGGGAAACCTGTGGACCTCACTGGCCTTCAGTCTCCTCTTCTGCAAAACAAAGAAAAATTGGGTTAAATGCCTTCTTTTATCCCTAAAGCCCATGCTTCCTATATATGATAGGGTGTGATGAGTTTCAGAATTTTTTCATATTTGGTAAGGGTCAGAGAAGTAAAGTTTTTATGATAAAAGTATTTTTTAACATAAAAACAGTATTTGTGTTAAGTTTTTTTTTTTTACTGAGTGGGTGCTTTGGCCAGTCTAGAGCCTTTCAAAAGAGAATAAAAATGGACTTTCTTTTTTTTCTATGCTCAGTCCTATTGTTATAGGTATCGCTGTGCTGCCCGCAGCCAGAACACACCAGACAGCTCTGCTTCTAACCTCGGGTTCCGCTGTGCCTCCAGCCGTCTCCCGGATACATGATAAAAGTCAAGGAGGGGAGGAGGCCTCGTGTGCCAGTCAGCAGAAGAATGATGTCCAGCCTGCACCGGGCTTCCTGGAGAGCTTTGAAGTGACCAATCTCTTGTCAGATGAAATTGCCCAACTTTTGGTAGTTTCTGCACCCATTAGCTGCCAGCCAAAGGACCCTTCCTTCCCTGCGAGATCCAATCACTGACACAAGGTGTTAGTAGCCAATGTTTTATTATTGTGGTTTGTCTTTGAAGAGACCTGCAATTTTATTGTTATTTTGGGGGGCAGTCTTTAAAGAGAAGACTTTTGATTTCAGAAGAAGAATCTATGACAGATTTATTTTTTAGCTAAGATGTTTTTACATATGTGAGCCTTGTGGGATATTAATCATGTAAATCAGAGTTGTCTTATGTCAGGCTTCATTCTGGGGGAGGCGGGACATAGTACTTTGTATTCATTAGCACTTTTTCTTCTTCAAGGAAATCCAAGGATGGTATATTGTGATTGTGCCTCCCACTTGGGAGAATGGGACAGCGGGATCCCATTTAGCTCAGTGTGATTCTGTAGTGCTGTGTCTTTTAAACATGAAGTGCCTTTAGTTTGGAGGGGCAGCTGTGTACTCATGCCCCATTTTTCCTTTTGCCAGTCTTTGGTGAATGTGACATTCAAGGTCTGTAGTCAGACCTAGTTCATTCTAAATATGGGAATGTTGGTGAATGGCCTTGAATGAACCAAGTTCAGATGGTCCAGTATTCTTAATCAAAGAATAATAGGACATCTAGTAGGCTTTGGAATAATAGATACTTGGAATTGTGCTCTATTTTGAATAAATCATTGTAGGCATAATGGGGCTTTAATTGGATCAGATTCTTTCCTATGTCTCACTGTGTTTGCTTATGAAGATAAGAAAGATTCCTTATGTGATATTTAATCACATAAATAAGAGTTGTCTTAGATCAGGCTTCATTCAGAGGGAGGAGGCACATAACACTCTGTATTAATTCACACTTTTTTCTTCTTCAAGGAAATCCAAGGATGGCATATTGTGGTGATGACTCCCATTTGGGAGAATGAGACAATGGGCTCACCAATAGCCAGTTTAGTGGCAGATCACTGAAACCTTTCGGTTTCCCTTGTCAGAGCTTACATGTCAGAGGTTGGCAAGTTATTCCCTTGGGCATTTGAAAGATCCAATGGGATCTTGTGTTCTCAAGTGAAAGGCAGTGTTACATAGCGGATAGAAAGCTGTTCTTGGAGTCAGATGACCTGGATTCAAGTTCCCTCTCTGACACATCCGTGTTGTTTAACCCTGGGTGAGTCACTTCATTTCTGAGTGCCCCCAGGCAACTTTCCTCCACTTTCAGTTGAAGAACACTTGCCTGTTAACACTGGCAGAAGGAATTTCCTTAATGGGAGATTCCCACACCAATAAAATCATAGGCCTGGACCCAAAATATGACCTCTGTGATTGTAGGCAGTGAAGATGGTTGAGCAGAAGGCCCCTGAACATGCTGACATTTGCTGGGAAGAAGAACACTGACCACTGTGTGTGTGTGTGTGTGCATCCTTCCTTTCGTCTTGCCCTAACTCTTACACAAGCTCCCAGCATCACATGGGGTGTCACTTTCCTTCTAGAAACATGGTGGGAGCCTTTGATAGGCTTTGGGGACTGAATACACAAATTTTTTTTTTTGCCATAAACTTTGGCAAGTTTTTGATCTCTAGAAGAAGCTTATTTTGCAGTTTGGAATTGAATCATAGGTATATTTCATTGTTCTTTATCTGGAGACCATGAGTCTAGGAGAATAGCCAGTGTGAAACTGAGATTATCCAAGTGCTCCCACATTTACAGCTGACCTTGTGACACATGACCAAGCAGGGGACAGTAATATTGTTGAGAAGCAGAGGGGTGGAATGGAAAAAGGATCAGAGAGTTCAAGGCCTGCCTTTGACACATGCTGACTATGTGACCTTGGACAAGTCATTTAACCTCTTCTTATACCAGGTGACTCACCAAGGCTCCAAATTGCAAACATCTGCCAATGTGCATTGCTAGAGAGGGTTTCTGTACTGGGGGCTCCCTGCACCAGTAAAATCATAGATCCAAACAAAACTCACATAATGTACTCTATGTAATGTGTCAGTATTCAGACTTGTAAATATTTTGGAAAATCCTGTTTAATCCATGTTGGCCAAATGACTTCCAGGACACACATTTAACATCAATCTTGCTTGATTCCACATATTTAGAATATCCTTACTTTATTACTTTCGTTTAAAATGGGAACAGATAATTTAATTCATCCTTCTTTAACCTCAGAAACCTGGCACCAAACAAGAGGGATCATATCTGGGATTTCACTGTCTCTACAGAGGTTCAAACAGCATAGTAACCTGTCCAGATTTTGCATTTTTTTAATTTGAAGCTTAGGCGTAGAGATGTATAAAGGTAAACAATTTACCAACCCATCTTGGCAAATCAATCAGTAAACATTTATTAAGCACTTAGTATGTGCCAGGCACTGTGCTAAGGATGGCAAACCATCCTAGTGATCCAGTCGCCTCTTCTGGAAGAAGTTGAAGGTACCAGGTAGTAATAAATGAGTGAAGATGACTTAATAATTTGACTTGGACTGGAGTGGAAAAAATAATTCTGTTGGTTCCAGAGTCAGTTTACTAGAGATAGTTTTTAAATGGAGAAGAAACTATGAAGTAGGACTAAATAGTAATGGTCTTTAATACTCAGTAAAAGAGTTTGAGGATTCTATTGGGTATAGCTGAAATATTATTTATTCTTTAAAACTGGTCATATATTTCTCCCTTATTTTACCAATTGCACATAAACATTTTTTCTTTATAAAACCCCCAACCAACTTAACTATGATGTCTTGATATGATTTTGAAAAATGTGCTGAAGTAAGAATTCTGGAATTTAATCTGAAACTGCTTTGTGAATCTCATACAAGGAGCAGAATTGATTGGCTTGAGTTTCCTGTCCTTAGCCTTCCATAACCTTTAGTGGAAGCAGCAAACATTTACTAAGTGCCTACTATGTGCCAGGCACTGTAGTAAGCCCTGAGAATACAAAGAAAGGCAAAAGACAGTTCCTGCCCTCAAGAATCTCACAGTCTAATTACAAGCAGTGAACTAGACCTAAGTTGGAGTTGAACAGTGAGAAATAAAATAGGATACAGCATATGAATAAGCATAAAATTAAACTCCACGTAATAAAGTGTTGATTAGTTTAATAGCCAACTGAACCTTACCCATATTAACTTGCTCTTCTGCTGAGGTAGTACCTGCCACCTCTTTCCTACCCTTCCCCCCAAGTACCATACAATCCCATCAAAGTTGTTGATTATGTGCTGGGAATGGGATAGAAAAATTACTCACAAGTTCTGATTGATTTGGTTTATCTTGCCTTCATCTTTAGGGACATGGGAACTTGTTCAAGGTCAGTCATAACAAGTAAAGGGCTTGGCCTAGAACTAATAGTGCTAACTTTCTGTCTAGTGCTCTATTATGAGCATTTTGCTTATTTTTCCCTCCTATAAAAGGACACAAGAGTAGTGTTTCTAACATGGAAATCATAATCATTGAGCCTTCTAAGGCTGAGATCCCTTCCCCCCTACCTCAGACAAAACAAAATCGAAGTCGTTACTGCATTAAGTAGCAATTTCCCTGAGCCCCAGCCAACACACTCTGCCAGTTGGAAGGTCCTAGTCTTGATCTAAAGGTAAGTAGTATTGGAGGAAGTGGGAAATTATGACGTCTTGTGTTTTCTGGTCAGGTCAGTAAACTCCTGGATAATAAATCTTTTTTTCTTTCTACCCAAGTGTTTGTTTTTGTGTGATTTCTTTTTATTTAAACAGAATAAAAGTTGCCAAAGAATGGACCTGACCATGTTGTGATGAATAGAAATTCCTGTTCACTATGTTCTTTTTTCTTTTTAATTTTCCTCAATGCTTCATTTTTTAATTTTATTTTTCCCCAATTACATTTCAAACAATTTTTTAAAAAAAAGTATGCTTCAGTCTGTATTCAGACACCATCAGTTCTTTCTCTGGGGATGGATAGCATTTTTAATCATAAGTCCTTCAGAGTTGTCTTGGATTATTGTATTGCTGAGAATAACTATCAGTATTTTCTTAGATACTTGAAACAGCTTGTAAATGTTGGACAAATGAAGAACTGACATCAGGCTGAAGAATCGTGGGCTCTTGGCCTTGTACTAATGAGAGAGAAAGGGTTGATTAATTTCTTCGTTAAAAATGGGAAGCCATTGCAAACTATTTTCAGATAAGTTGGAAAGTGAGACATGTTCATTTCAAAAACTTCCAGTTAGGATAGGAAAGTTGATAGGGATTAGTAGGGAGTTGTTTTCTTGCTTGAGGTCATGAATTTTAATCTGTTCCAAAATGGTAATGACCCCAAAGTAATTACTGTCTGAAAGCTGGTAAGGGGCCTTTGTGAAATAGCCCTACAGTTGGTAGGGCATAGAATTGAGTCCATTTGGGAATATTGCAGGCAGGATGACTCCTGAGGGATTCAGACCTGGGCTGTTTTCTTCATTAACTTTTGTTCATCTACTACTTAACATTTACAAAGCTCTTTTTTTGTGCTTTGTCTCATTTGAGTCTTATCATAAGCCAGTGAGGTAGTCAGGGAAGGATTTATTATTTCTGTTTTACAGATAGGGAAATGGAGGTCCAAAGTGTTTGAGCCTTAGAATATGGGTTCAAATCCCAACTTTGCCACTTGTAAACTCTGTGACCTCTGGCAAATTACTTGGTCTCTGTGGGCCTTAGTTTACTCATCTGTAAAATGAAAGGTTTGGACTAGATGACCTCTGGTCCTTTGAAGGTCTAGATTTATGTTCTTATGTTTCTTAGTAAAGTAGGTGAAGGTGGAATGAACAGCGAAATCAGAGAGATCCCTTTTTGGTCCCTCAGGCTTCTACCCAAATAGGGGAATAATGCTAAGTGCTATGAAGCAAAACATCAGGGGAAAGAGCGAGATGAACTAATGGAAAATCAAGAGGGAAAGAGGCCACATGTTGTCAGGTGGCACTGATAAGAGATTCACCCACGTCATTTCATTTGGTGCTGATAGAGGAAATTGTTACGCTGTTGCTGGGATTATTTTTTTTAAGAGATTCAGTTTTACAGCTCCCTCTAATGCTGCATTCTGAAAGTCTAGAATTTTTACTCCTGAAAAAAAATTGCAAAGTGTCTTATTTTTATTCTTTAAAAAATATAAATAAGGAAGAATATGATTGGATTCCTCCAAAGAGCAGTCTCACAAGCAGAGGATCAAGAAGCTGCTTCTAAGGCATGCCTGCCTGGATCACAGACTCCCATACTCTTGAGGGACAGAAAACACTCTGGTGGGAAGGGGTCACATCAGAAGAGAAGAGGCAACATGAGTCTTGTGGCCCATCTCCACCACACAGTGCTACAGCTAGAACGATTACCAATCATGGCCAAGTATGTGTTTTATAAACTCCTCGACTGTGTTGTCCAGAAACTATTCATTAAAAGGCAAAGTTAAGTGAATTATGACTGGCAGCTTCCCTTTTAAATGTTACTCACCTGAGGAAATTCAGGAGGCCCTGATACTCACTGGAAGAAACCCCCCCCCCCCACATATTCTGAGGGAGGAGAAGAAGGTTCCTTACAAACAAGGCAAACCCCCAAGACCACCTTGCTGCTGCCTAGATGTCCACAAAGCTCATGCCACCCCATCTAGTTTTCTGTTACCCTCTGTGCTACCCAGGTTAGGGGTTAATTCTTTAAAGGAATATTTTGTGCTGTTCCTTTAAGTCACTTGAAGAATTATTAGTTTATTATGTTAGGCCGTA